GGCGGGGCAGTCAGGGGGTGGTACTCACTAGTGGTGGAGGCGCCATGGTGCACGCAGAGTGGAGAGAGGCAGCCGTCGGACTGCGCGCCCCGCGCTACGTCACCGGCGCTTTATACGCTCCCCCTCCACTCGACTGCAGGCGCCCCGCGCGCCCCGCCCCACCCCTCCTCGGCAACACGCCTCAACCCCTGCGCAAAACGTAAGAGACAGTTCGTCCGATGTATTGCGTGCACTTCTTGCCCTTAAAAATGGATGAGAATTTGTTTTCTAATTTCAAAAATGAGTGGTGCAAAATAACTTTTCAAAAATAATTATTTCTTTTACTTATTTTGAACTGTAAGTAAACTAGACGTGTATAATCGTCTCGTTCATATCACACGTTGTGAACGGAATGAAAAATGTCTGCATCACACTAAATGTATTCGTATAGCACAGCACCTGGCACGGTGGTTATGGTTAGTGTAGCCCGTTGATGTCGTTTCTCTTCAGCAGTGTGCGTCTTGACGACCGAGGCGGCACGCGCTGATGACGGGGAGTAACGGAGGGGTGCACCGGGGGGGCTGGCAGAGACAGGTGCAATAATACGAATGGCTTCCCCGCACGCAGCGCGAGTTAGCCTGCCCTTCCCTTTTCGGCGAGATGCAGCTTTGCCGGCTTCAAAAATAATCGCAAAATGTTTGTTTTCTCCAACGTGTCGGCGCCGCATCAAACGTCCTGCTGTCGGGCAACTCATTGGCTCTCCGGTTCGAATGCGCGGCTATTTCGTTGACACAAATCTCGTGAATTTGCGCTAAAGAAAATTATTTCTTCTTTACATTTCACTGTTGACATATTTGTCATATTTCAAAAAAATACAAGAGATTGTTCTCCTTGAAAGATTCACATTTGAACGGATTCTTAAATAAATATTGATCTCGGCGGCGATATTAGAGAGCTTAACATAAATAAACTTGCTGAATAGAACTATGTCCTTTCAGGCTCACATTTTCTTTTCCGACTTTGAACTCTGATGACTCGAGTCATGCACGCCGCAACGCCACGCCGCTGGGCCTGGCCGGGCCCTTTAGGGGACAGCACATTATGGCGCGCTGATGAGGCAACCTGCGGGATATGATCCAATGATCTGTTCGGTTCCAGCAACGCCGCGCCTCTCCGCGCCCG